AGTCTAACATAATTACATTCTTCAGTTAATTTCAGGTAGAGTTTACTATAATAAAATTTTAATTTAAGGCTTAGTTATAAAGATACATAATGACAAAGATTGGAAAGTTGTAAAAAATGATGACCTTTTTCGACATTTTCGCTGAGGAAAAATCGTTCCCAAATTGACCAAAGAATCCATTTGTAATCATTGGTCTGTTAGTTACCGGACACCCTGTATATTGGACACGAGTTTCGTTTGTTTCAGATTCTCGAGAGTTGAAGTAGGAACATACGAGTATCATATATCGTTTGTGACTTGCCGAATGAAAGCAAGACAGAGAGCGAACGAGATGATGAGCTTAATAGCTCATAATGTTATAAATAAATAAATAAAAATTATAACCTGACCTACTAGTTATTGAATCTTTTTTTAATAAAATATTTCATTATTATTATCATCTAAGTCTAAGTCGTTTAATTACTTTTTAGTTTTTTAATAATTAATTTAATTTATTCTAGTCATTTTTATATGAGAAAAATAATATCACGTATACGTTTTATAATGAATTAATATATTTCGGGAACCGAATTATATATTCTTAATAATATAAAAGTGTTCAAAAATTATATTTGACTTTTAATTTTAATTATTTTATAGCAAAGAGTTCCGAAATCTCTTACACACATAATGGGGATTTTTTTCATCCATATAATTCGCAATTAAGTATATATGTTAATTATTAATTTTAATAAAATAAAAATTAAAATTAAAGGTCAAATATAATTTTTAAACACAAATATATTAAATTAATTATAAAACGTATACCCATGATAGTATTTTTCTCGTACAAAAATAATTAGAGTAAATTAAATTAATCATAAAAGATTAAAAATTAATTAAGGGGTTATACCTACCTGCAAACTTCAAAAAAATCGATTTTTGGATTTTGATATTTTCTTAAAGTACATACTTTCAAAAATATTCCCTGCAAATTTCAAGTCGATTCGACAAAATTAACGAAGTTATGTGAGTTTAAAGGTATACTGGTGTGAACGTATCCTGCTGTTTAGAAGCAGGGTACAGAAACGGGTCTCAGGTATCGAACGGCAGCTGCGACGCGGACAAAAGCGGTCTCTATACAAAGCCAAAATATATATAAATAAATAATATATATAAATATATATATAAATATATTATTTGGTTGTGAACTTAATTTGAAACTTCAAATGCGTTTTTTCTCAAAACAGCATTTTTAAAATCGGTGACCAAATATCTCGAAAACCGCTGCATCGATTGAAATAAAATTTGGTAGACATCTTTAATACTAAAAATCTAGTGCCCGATCGTGGCTTTTGTTTTTTCGTTGCGTATTTTTTTTAATAATAAAAACGAGCGAATTTTTGGTAGCAAAATCATACCTTCAAATTTGAACAGCCGCCATTTTGTCGCAAATTAATTTTTCAAAAAAATGAACGATCGGGCACTAGATAATCTTATATATTAACTAAATTTCTCGGTTTTTTGATTTCTGGTAAACCAGTTCAAAGTTAGAGTGGTCACCGCAAAACGCTTTTCAAAAAACTGCTTCTGGAAGATTAAGCATATCTTTTTTATTTATCAACATTTTGCAATAAAAAAATACTAAATAATCTTTGAAATATATATATTTGAAAACATAAATGTTCCTTTCCAAAGCACTTCAAATTTTAAAAAAAAATTCCCAAAAATACGTGTTTTTCAGACCTTGCAGGTAGGTATAACCCCTTAAAGAATTTAAACTTATATTTTATATAATAATAATAAAACATTTTATTACGTCAAACCGTCGTGAAATAATTAAATAAAATTTGCTAGTTACGTCAAAGTCAAGTTTTCTAAGCTTATAAAACATTTTATTAAAAAACAGATTCAATAAATATAAGTACATGTTATATATATACTTATATTTATTGAATCTGTTTTTTTTATAAAATGTTTTATTATTATTATATATAATATAAATTATTAATTATTTTTTTATTTTTTTATGAGTAATTTAATTTGTTCTAATTATTTTTGTACGAGAAAATACTATCACGGGTATACGTTTTATAACGAATTAAATATATTTATGTTCAAAAATTATATTTGACCTTTAATTTTAATTTTGTATTTTATTAAAATTAATAATTAACATATATACTTAATTGCGAATTATATGGATGAACAAAATCCCTATTATGTGTGTAAGAGATTTCGGAACTCTTTGCTAAAATAATTAAAATTAAAAGTCAAATATAATTTTTGAACACTTTTATATTATTAAAATATATAATTCGACTCTCGAAATATATTAATTCATTATAAAACGTATACGTATTAGTATTTTCACATATTAAAATGATTAGAATAAATTAAATTAATTATTAAAAAACTAAAAATTAATTAAACGACTTAGACTTAGATGATAATAATAATGAAACATTTATTAAAAATAATTATAATAGGTCAGGTTAATATTTTTATTTATTATTTATTTATTTATTTATAACATCATAAAATTCTGTCCTTTCCGAAATACGCGAACGCTACGAAAAGATAATCTCGTAACATGCCGCCGGACGAGTTCATGACATGAGACGCTCATCTTAGGAACGTATTAATAGTTACTGCATTGACCACTACCACGATATGGCGCTGAAATCAGTGAGAAATGCTGGTCTCTCCTTCATCCAGACCTTTGGCGATCTGTCTATTATTCTGTGATATGGATCTTCATATGATTTAATCTTTTACCTAAAATTTTCATTTTGTGTACATAAAATATATAACACATAATTAAGATCGACCAATTACAGTCAAATATTTAAAAAAATTCTTAAAGGTAATAATTGATCGATTTGCTTGCGACTTTGCGATTACCATTTAGTAACTTACTATAACTATTTTTACTGTTGTATATAAAGGTCATTCATACATTGATGTTAATTGCAAAGTCGCAAGCAAATCGATCAATATTACATTCAAGAAATTTTTTTAAATACTTGACTGTAATTGTGCATAAAATGTAAGCTCCTTATATTTAAAACAATGTATAATTATTTTTAAAAAGTAACTGAAAAGTAACGACTCGTTAGTAACTGTAACTGTAACGAGTTATTTTTTAAAATTGGTAACTTGTAACTGTAACTAGTTACTTTTTCAATGAAATAACTGTAACTGTAACTAGTTACTTTTACAAAGTAACTTTCCCAACCCTGATATTATTATATTATATATATATATATATATATATATATATATATATATATATATTTATATATATATGCAGAGGAAAACTAAATATTTATTGAAACCAAATTTAAAGAGAAATCTTATATTGCTTTAAATAAAGTATATAATATTACATTAATAATGTCTCAAAAAATATATACATATTTAATATAAGAACTGTATTAATATAAGAACTATATTATTTTATAAAGATAATATTAAAACTTTTAAATTGATGTTTCATATAATTTATTTCAATTCTATTGCGCAATCTGGCAAAGCTTCTGCAAGTTCTTTCCTAAGCAAAGCTTTATCCTCCAAATATGGCATCCCAGCAAGCTTTAAAGTCTTCAGGTTTCTGTAAAATACAAAAACAAAACTTTATATTTGAAAACTGAATATTTTTATAATTTGAAAATGTTACGAAAAAATAGCCATAATATCATATATCTTATTAACAATTCAAATAACAAACTGATATCATTAAACGTCAAAATGATGTACATTTGCTATCTGGGAATATAATTATGAAATACATACTTTAGATTTTTCAAACTACGCACTCCTTGATCAGTTATACTCTTACAATCTCTAATTTCAAGTGTTGTCAAGGTATCCTTCACTGCTGATAACAATGGCAGAGCATGATCATATAAGTAAATACATTTTACAAATTTCATCTCATCAATATACCTGCAACCAACTAAATTTCTATCAGTAGAGTAAAAATATTATAAAAATATTGTAGGAATAAATATTGCATAATTACATATATACTATTTGACAATTAATTTACAATAAGTGAATAAATGAGTCGAGCATACAGTTTATATTTTGTAATATCAAATATTAACATACTACATAAGCTGTTCTATATATTAAAAATCTTAAAAGTCTATTAAAATATTGTTTTAAACAATATCAAATATATTATCATTGTTAAAGATCCTTTCTCAGGATATTTCATTGCAAATAATTAAATTTGATACCAAAATGTGGAAATCCAACATGAGTTACTCCAGAGTCGGTAGCATCTACAGCTTGAATGTAATATTGACTTTTTTCCGATGATAAACTATTATAATCTTTCAAATATTGTGTAACATTTTTCCATCTGACACTTGCACCATTCCTTAAAAGCCATTCAGCACATGCACGATCTGGACCAACTGATCGGATTCTTTCTTGATCAACTCTTAAAATTATTACTTATTATTAGCTTAAAAATGATGTATAAGCAAGTAATTTCACATAATACTCCAATATAATAATTTACATATAAATACCTGTTAAATATTACTGTTAACCAATAAAAAATCCTCTATCAGGTACTTTTTTGCAATGATTTATGGTAACTGACATTCTATTTAATATCTGTAACATTCATATAACATTTACTTACAATATAAAGAATAATTGAGAAAAATAAATCCATATATTTGCACACACATATATTGCCTTTTCATTCATGCAATTGTTTTTAAAAAGTTAAAATAAAGTATAAAAATTAAAAATTTTCACATAATCTGCATAAAAGATATAAAAAAAATAATAAATAGCAACAAATATCATACATGTAATGCCATTGTTTATGTTTATTATTTCGACACTGTGCAATCAGCTGATCACAACAAGGGAATCTTTGCTTCACCCTAATTGGTCAATAAAATGTTGCTCTGTGATAACATATATTTGAACGCACTTCGGACAAGGCAGATCGAATTAGGTTGCCTAGACTGCTTTTCTATAACTGTGCATGCGCGTCACTGACGCGGAAGAATCGCGCGGGAGAACGGTCGAGAAACAGTCCAGAGTCACGAAAATAATGTGAGTATATTTAATATAAAGATTTAACTTTTGAATTTTTCATATTTACCGTTCATATTTTGTATATTTCGAAGCATAGAAATTGAATTAATCTCTCAATGCACTTTAATTTCTTGATAAACTTATTTGTTTAATCATTGCGCCCGACATTACGGTTGCGTGGAGTTCACTTGATGAAACTGTCGCACGTTTGATAGTTTTCTTTATATTTTTAATATAAATTGCCTTATAATTACGCAATATTTATTCTCGGGCACTACATTTCTCGGTGAGAACTCGCAAATAAAAAAAAATATATATATATATATATCGGGAATACTGAAAAAATATTGAAAATATATCATTAAGTGTATCAGAAATGTCGAGAAAAATATCGTGACTGTTAAGAAAAATATTAGGTTGCAGTCTTATTATGCATAAACATAATATAAATAACAAATACAATACAATTTTATCGATATAATATACGCTTGCGACAGTTTTGTCAAAAAAACTCCGCGCGACCGTAGCTTGAAATTATTGTCTACAAATAAGCATATAGCATCGAAAATATTGAGAAAAGTCATCAAATATGCCGAGAAAAGATAATCGGACAATCCTATAATATATATTATTTAAATGAATTTCAATAAATGTTCGTCTATTTCAAGAATGTGTAAATTTTAATGATATATCCATTAAATACTCGTGAATTATGTATACAAAATTTTTCATTAAAATTATAACAAGAATTTAAGGCATATTTGAGGTACATAAGATATTTATTCATATATTTAATATCACAAATGATTGATTATTATATAAATATATATTCTTTATATCTTAATTATATACTAATTTTTAGAATATTTTGATTTTATTCCTATTCAGAATCAGATGCTAATCTTTTTAAATCTGTGTCAGAGAAATTATAAAAATGCCACTGTTCTTCAGAAGTTAGATCATTAGCTCTAAGTATTTTGTAAAACTCTCGTGCTGGATTCCACTTGAGAACCATAAAATTCAACTTGCTGCAATTATTCTCCACTGCTTCCTGCAAAGATTTTGCAATCAGATTCATGTCGCATATCTAATTCTAGATTAAACATACTTTTGCGACAGCTTTCAGAAGCTTGGTGCCAACATGTTTTCCTCGGAACTCTGGTGTCACATAAATATCCTCCAGATACATAGCTTTTCCACGCCATGTAGAATAAATATAATAAAAGATAGTATAACCAATAACCTTCTCATTGGATGTTGCCACATTGCAGAGAAATAATGGTTGCCCATCGAAGCCATCTCTTTCTAAAGCTAAATATATATATATATTTTTTTTTCATGATATAGAGTCATTTTTAGACAATTTATGTAACGTAACATACAAATGTATATAAATCTCACTTTTATAATCAATTTTTGGTCCATCAGGCATCTTCTCATAGTCTGCTAATTCCTGTAAAACAATATCTTTTATGTTATCTAAAATATTTCTTTGTTATCAGTAAAATTTACCTGTATAAGTGTCCTGATAGTTTGGCAATCTTCGCGTCTAGCTCTCCGTATAATTATTTCAGTCATCATTAAGTAATGTGATAGATTCTCTGGCTTCTAAAATATTATATAATCACTGTAAATATTTTAAAAATATTAAAAATATGTAACATAAAGGAATAAATCTGACAATATATAAATTATATGTATATAATATATATATATACACATAATTTATATACCTATATATATATATATATATATATTGTACATAAAATATATAATCACTATAAATATTTTAAAAATATTAAAAATATGTAGCATAAATATATATATATAAAATTATTGTACGTACAATTTATACATATATTATCACGTGAGTCTTCAGCTATAACGAGTTGTTACTTACATATCTATACATAATTTACATTGTACAAGTGTAATTATATATGATGTGTAAGTCCTTATCTTTTATCATTTATTTTTTATAAATAAGGTGCTCGAGTTATTAACGATTGGTCACGTCAATATTTTCCGTCTTTCTGTCAAAGTGCACTCCTGTGCTTCTCTGTCGCAAGAGGGCTCGCGCAATCGCGAGGGTCGCATTTTAGGTTAACATTTGTATGTGCCGGCTGTTTCAAGCATCAAAACAAACTCGAGAAATTTTTACATTCTAGCGATCGCTCCTGACGCCTTTAAATCGACGTACAAGTTGAAATAATTGAGACAACATGAGCCGCAGGAAAAGAGCGAAGGTGCGTGCTTTTATTTCTTTCAGATTCATTATGATAATGTTTTGTATATTTGTGCTTACGAATGTCGATATCAATCAACGTAACGATAAGATTGTGATGCTGTCATTTTTCGCGATCATGTGTTATTATTCTTTTACTATTGCGATAATAAATCAGACGAATAAATTTTCTTTGCAATTTTTTATGATTTTTTGCAAATTTTCTTTTCTTCATGCTAGGGAGGCTATGTTTTGATTGTGTATATGTTCAGATTTTTATCTGGTTATTATTTTATCATTCTACAAAGCATTATTTAAATCTTTTCTTTAAAAAAGATCTTTCTTTATTTATATAAAATTTTTATAATATCTCTAATTTTATAATACAGCTATATTTTGTATATATCTTGTGCGAGAAAATATATCTAATTATTAGCTAGAGTACATAGAATTGAAAAAAAAAAAAAAAATAAATAAAATTAGAAGATGAGAATGCTTCGAAATTTTTAATACTTTTTATATTTATATGCAGTTATTAATATTGATTTTATACAAGAAAATATAATTATAGGTGGAGTACAGAGAAATGGAGGAAAAATATAATCAGTTGGAAGATGAGAATGCCTCGGATACATCAGAGAAATCTAAAACTGGTCTTGTAACGCCAGAGAAGAAAGTTTCCACTGAAGTGAAAAAAGAATCTGAATCTACGGTGCCTGCACCTGTACCTTCCGCTTCAAAAAGTGAAGTCAAAGAGGAAGATGAGCAAGACAGTGATCATGAAGATCCACATGGTATTTTTCTTTTTATAAAAAAGTTATTTAAATTTTACAGTGTTGATGCAAACAATTAATTTTGTTTTTACATTAGTGAAGGAATTATTGAATGGCTTGGAAGGTGCAGCCTTTCAAAGTCGCCTTCCATTTGACAAATTGACATCTACCGAAGCTGCATGTTTTCCTGATGTTTCTGGTGGACCACCGCAAACACAGAAAGTCTTCCTACACATCAGGAACAGACTTGTAAGTATGTAAATTATAAGCTATGAAATTTTGTTATTCCTTTTCTAATTTGATCTTATATTTTAGTTACAAATATGGTTGGAAAATCCTAAACAACAATTGATCATCGAGAGTGCATTACCACAAGTTGAGCCACCTTATAATAGCGACACTGTGCTTACTCGTAGGATTCATGCCTTTTTAGAACGACATGGTTTTATAAACTTTGGAATCTTTAAACGCATAAAGGTAATTTAATAAACATATAAATTACATTATTATTTTGAACAGATTAATGCCATGTATTTATTTCATTTTAATACTAGATTAATATTATAATTTTATTATATTATATATATAGACATTAGTTGTTACTAAAAAAATTAATAATTATTAATATTTATATTTGCTTGTTGCAGTCCTTACCGACCAAAAAATTAGGTAAAGTCATTGTAATCGGTGCTGGTATTGCTGGGTTAGCTGCAGCTCAGCAGATGCAACAATTTGGCTTAGAAGTAATTGTCTTGGAAGCTAGAGTAAGTTGTCAATTAACTATTTCATTTTATTTTAACTTATCTTTAGCTTTGTATAAATTAATTTTTCCTAAACTATTATTAATTTCTGTTTAGGATCGTGTTGGTGGTCGAATCGCTACATTTCGTAAATCAAATTATATTGCGGATTTGGGAGCTATGGTGGTCACAGGTTTAGGTGGAAATCCTGTAACGACGCTTAGTAAACAAATTAATATGGAACTACATAAAATTCGACAAAAGTGTCCATTGTATGAAAGCGATGGTCAAACGGTATGTTTAAAATATTTTATTAAAATAATTCAATATACATATAATATATATCTCATTTTTATTACTATTATATATTATAAAATATAATGCAGTTATTATTATAACTGTTTTAACAACAAGAAAATTAAAGATTTTCCTATATTATTGTACTATTAATATGTACATAAATATATACTAATTATATATCAAAGTATAAATAAAATATGTATTATATTTGTTGCAGGTTCCAAAAGATAAAGATGAAATGGTTGAAAGAGAGTTTAATAGATTACTGGAAGCCACCTCTTATCTTTCGCATCAACTAGATTTTAATTATGTAAACAGTGCAGGATCTGGAGGACAAAGCGGTAATACACGTCCAGTGTCTTTGGGTCAAGCATTAGAATGGGTAATACGTTTGCAAGAACAAGGTGTAAAACAACGCCAAGTAGCGCATTTGCGCTCTGTACTCTCCTTGCAAGGACGATTAGTTACTAATCAACACAGAGTATGTACAATTAAACATTTTTTAATTAAATACATATTTTTAATGTGTACACACGAGATAATATAATAAATTGCATGAAATGTATGAAATTATATGATTAAATTGTAATTTATTTTGTAGATGATTTCCATTATGGATCGTTTGGTGGAACTGAATAAACAATACAAAGAAATGACGGAAAGTAAATTACAAACTCGAGATATAACGCAAGAGTTTGTGCTCCGATCCAAGTTACGCGATCTCCATAATGCTTGCAAGGTGCATAATTTAATGATGAATTTTTAAATCAAAGTTATAGATAATATATATTATTTTTTTTACGATAAGTAATAATATATTCTTATTTTGTATTCTTACTTTAGGAATGGGATCAGTTATCAGATCAACAAAAGGAAATCGAAGCAAAGCTGCAAGAATTGGAGGCATCACCACCAAGGTAAATTTATTATATTCTATATTTAAATTAAAAATCTATAATCTAAATTATACTTTAAGTAATATATAATTTGTTGAGAAATCTGTTTATTAATTTATGTGTATTGATAATACAGAAAATTAAAAAAAAATTGAAATACAAAATACATTAAATGTGCCATATAAAATTATAAATGGATTTGTTTTGTAAATGCTGTCGTAAATTATAAATAATCAAAAATGGACTTACAAATTATATATATTGATATATAAATATTTTGTTTGCATTCAGTGACGTCTACTTATCGTCCAAGGATCGGCAGATATTGGATTGGCATTTTGCAAACTTGGAATTTGCGAACGCAACATCCTTGTCAAACTTGAGCCTGAAGCACTGGGATCAAGACGACGATTTTGAATTCACCGGAAGTCATCTAACTGGTGAGTCAGACACAATTTTCTTATATAAGTATCGATTTTCAAAGCGTTGCGATACTTGAAAATTCGCATGTTGGAAGAAATATTTGCTTGCTTGTAATAAGCAACCTACAACGAGGGAAGAACTTAAACATTTGTGCAGATATGCTGTTGCACAAATATCTGCGCATCCCCAGCACAAACACTGAAAGAAAGGAGGATGTTAAAAAAGGTCGATTTCCGGACTATCGATGGAACTTAAAATTCGAGTTCCATAGGTCTATGAACCATATAAGATGTAAAAATGATGGTCTTCTTTTTTTAGAGACCTGGGGAAAGTATTGAAAATCTATCAAAACTATTGAAAATAGCGTCATTCGATCAATCTGAAGTCAACTAAAATCGATGACATGGATGAATTTTCAATCAAACCAAGTTCTGGTTAAACACTTATCAAATAGTTTTTGAGATCAATAATGTTTTAATATCGGGATTGCAAAATTCAAAATTGCGGATCCAATATGGTGGATCAGTATTGAGAGAAACTAGATGTCAGGATGTAGTTACTTCCGAATAAAAGATTTGATTCCACATTCAAATACATTATGTTTTTTAGTTTGTTTATTTGTTTGTTAAATATTTTTGTTTTTCAATTGATTGCTCACAATTACTTACGTTTCATTGTTGAATAAAATTCTTTAGTTCTAACATAGAGAATATTAATAGTCTTCATATTTTCTATGTTAGAACTAAAGAATTTTATTCAACAATGAAACAAAAATATTTAAATAAAAAAAACTAAAAAGCATAATGTATTTGAATGTGGAATCAGATCTTTTATTCGGAAATAACTATATCCTCGAATCTAGTTTCTCTCAATACTGATCTACCATATTGGATCCGCAATCTTGAATTTTGCGATCCCGATATTAAAACATTATTGATCTGGAAAACTATTTGATAAGTGCTTAACCAGAACTTGGTTTGATTGAAAATTCACCCATGTCATCGATTTTATAGTTGTCTTCAGATCGATCAAATGACGCTATTTTCAATAGTAGTTTTGATAGATTTTCAATACTTTCCCCAGGTCTCTAGGAAAAAAGCCCATTATTTTTACATCTTATATGGTTCATAGATATCCATGGAACTCGAATTTTAGGTTCCATCGATAGTCGGAAAATTGACTTTCTTTAACATCCTCATTTCATTGAATAAATTACCAATTATTCGCGGAATATTTAATGAAAAAGCGTATCAGGATCGAAACATGTATTAATCTCACAAAGTCAGAGATTTTGCACGATATAATCGTGTTTGCTGAAACAAGTCGTGTCCGACTATGTTCTTTGGAAATTGCTGAGGCCGAGAGGAGATCGCGCAGATAATGAGTGAATTATTCGCGAGTTGCATCTCCTTTATAGGCGTTTGACTCGCTTCTCTCGCGCGTCTCCCCGTAGTTGACTTTATCAACCTTATTGAAAGCCGATAGCATGAGATTCCGTGTAGATAGTCGTCGTATTCCCTCCCTCCTTTTCCCCGGATCTATCGAGTCGCGGAGTTCTCATTATGTGAAATTATGCCATGATCATAGCCCGTAAACTCTTACGAGCTTACTAAAGCGGCGACGGAAAAGCCGTGTGCGGTTAAAAATATTTTATGATCGCCGATAAACGCGTATTTTTCACGGTTTTGTATCGGCAAATAAATTGTATTGCCGGGGTATTTTAATTTTACGAGACAAGTTTATCAAGACCCGCGCGCGCGCGCACAAGTGTACAATTATTTATCGCCAGATCTATGGTATTTGTCAAGTTCTTACGTTTTATCGCGTGTCCACGTGTGTACACGCGTGTAAAAGATAGGAAAATATTATCAAAATTCTATCTGACACGCGCAAGTGCATTTTTGTTTCAGATAATTGATGCAAATATTTTATGTATTTATGTATTATATTTATATATTTATTTGTAATATGGTATATTATTGTATGGACTTTTAAAATGAGACACCTTGTATATTTATATAATATTATACATATTTATATAATTTTATATATATATATATATATATATATATAATTATATAAATATGTATAATATTATATAAATATACAAGGTGTCTTATTTTAAAAGTCCATACAAATATCTTTTGAACAAAGCATTTTAGAAAAAAAATTTTAGACAAAAGTTGTAATATTTCGAGGGAGACAGAAATTGGCGCTACTGATTTTTTCGTAAAGGGCGATATTTATTGGCATATGCTTTTTTTTTTAAATGAAATTACCTTAATTTTTCAATCGATTCCTTGCAATTTTTGGCATAAAAAGTTATTAAGGCTTAAAATGGTCAAAATAATTAATAATTTATGATATTTGATACTTAAATTTGACATAATTTTACATAAACTATAAAATATCTCGTAAAATATTCATTTTTCGACAATCTTACCCTAATACTTTTATGTACAATATAAAAATAGTGAAAGGAATCAACTGATTTTAAAAAAATATACATAGTTGTTTGTAAGATAAAATATGTAGCTGCTTTGTTGCAAATTACATACTTTCTTTACACCAATTGATTTCTTTTCTTATCTTGTACGTAAAAGTATTTTGAGGTAAGATCAAAAAATTAATATTCTATGAGATAATTCATATAAACTTATGTTAAACTAAAGTATAAAATATCTCGTAAACTATTCCCTTCTTGGCCATCTTAACTTTTTATAGTGAACATTGCGAGGAATCGATTTATACAAAAAATTGAAATAGTTTCATAAAAAAAAAAAAAAAAAAAATTTTCAAGTAATCTTGAAAATCACTCTTTAAAAAAATAATTAGTAGCACCGACTTTTTTTCCCCTCGAAATCCTACAATAAAACATTTTTCTCTAAAATGCATTGTTCAAGAGATATTTGTTTGAATCTTTTAAAATAGGACCCTGTATTTTTATATTACATTTTATATATTTGATATATTTATTTAAAAAAATTGCTTAGCAAAATCGCGTGCCAGAAATATTTCTTCGGTAAGTACAACAAACATAATTTTCTTTTTGCTCTATTTTTGAACATATGTATCAGAATGTCTCGTGTCATTTGCCGATTCCATTTCCAACACGCGAGCGCCAAGAGAACATTAACGTAATATATTCACGATGAAAATCTTCGCCTATCTCCTTAATGGTGCTCCTTTGCCGATACTCGATGCAATCAAAACTAGCCGATATCGTTCCGACTAGTAATGCGGTTTAACAGTAACCGGCTACCGGGGTTGCAAACTCGACGAATCGGTCGCGAGAAGTGGAAATTGCTTCGAACGTACCTAGTCGTTTCACGTAAGGGCGGTCTGGACATACAATAAACCCCCCATGAAACGAAAGGAAGACGGTTCCTCGTTTCGAGGATGCGCGAGATCGAGTAATGAGTCCGAAAGAACGAGTCCGGGCGAGAGAAGGAAAGCCCCTATATCGATGATCACGAAGGTTCCCGCCGCGATTAATGAGATGTAAACAATTTAACACTAAATTAAGCACGACAATAGGCTCTCTTTTTTTTTTGCTCCCTCCCTCTCGATCGGGAGCAGCAGCCCCCTTCGTGGACGCTTCCACCGATGTATAATCGGGGACTGTCTTTCTCTTTACGGACCATCGGTTCCTTCTCGGTTTCAAACGAGGCCCGCGATTTTATCGGGAAACGCACCGAAAGTAAAACAATACTTTACGGGACGTTTCATCCCTCGTTCCCGCGTCTTTTTACCGTTTCACCCTTCGCGCGCCAGCGACGGTTTATCATCCTGGTTCTGCCTTATCTAAGGTTCTTTGTATGTTGGAACTACGTATGCGGTGTGAGAAATATATCTCGGTAACGTGAACTTTTCTTGCGAATATCGAGCTTTCGAAACTTCTTAGGAAATATAAATGTGTATTAAAGATACACGCCATCTTGAATAAATTTTAATCTGCTCTACGTATTCTATATTATTAAATACAGCTTATTTTGTAATCATTTGTTAATTCCTCTTTTTCGAAGAATTTTCGAGTTTTTATACAAAAAGATTTTTTTTTATAGATTTATACTCGGTATTATTACAAAATTTTTTTTTATTTAATGAATTTTAGAGTAATATAAATATTTGAAAATTTTATGGAGCAAGGATTCGAAAAATAAAAATGAGGTAGGTCAACATTTTTCCTTATTTTAGCCGTACGTGGTTGAACATTGTGAGGTAGCAAAATTACATTTTTATAATTGATGAAAGGGCTAGTAACTATTTTTTTGCAATTTTTCTGTACTTTTATGTGCACTTTCTCTCACTGCAATTGTTACATTTACATCTATTGTGATTGTTTCGTTTCGATTGAAAAACTTAGGGTTTTTCAAACAAAGTTATTCAGTGGAACTTATTTATGAATATAATATATTTATGAATCAGTTTAATAATTATGGAGTCTAAAATTATCAAGAATTTATATTAGATCCTGCGTACAATAGAGAAAATGTTAGGAATAAATATTAAATATTAAAAATAGAAAATTATTTTAAAATAATAAAGTCGGAAAAATTGATATATAAATATAAATTTAGGTATAAAGAACTCTTATTAGCTTACTAGTTCTTTATACCCGAATTTGTATTTTTATCATCAGAATTTTTCGAGATTTTAGTATTTTAAAATTTTTATTTCTAATATTTTTAATATTTATTCCTAATATTTTTTTCTATTGTGCGCAGAGTTTTAGTCTTTTTGGGACTCTTTTCTAAATAGCTGTCAGAAATATATTATCATCGCTGTATCATATTTATGATATACTTGAGAGTTCTCAAATACATATTTATATATATATTTTACAATATATATTTATATATATTTTATTATATATATTTATATATTTATTATATTTATATATAAATATATAATATCTGTATAATGCCTAGATCTTTACATTTAATTGACATAATTAAAAGATGAATTTTGTCCTGACTGTTATTATCCCTTATCATTCTTTTCTGGCTGCGAAGCG